ACTGAAAGTTTACTGAAAAGAAATGTCATGTTTAACTTTTACAGCGAGATACTTGGTGGAGCGACGCCACTAAATCTGGGTTTTTCCATGATATCTTTCTGTCTGTTCTTAAACAATCTGAATCTTTTCCTTGACTTTTAATAACACCTTACATCACAAACCACACCTCTGCTTTGGTCCATCGACCAATCAAAAAGCTCTCAAATGAACCGGAAGTGACCCTTCTTAAAAGGTTGGCACTTCCTAGTTCAGAGAGAAGAGTTCAGCTCAGAGAGTTCAGCTCAGTCTTGAAGCTGCTGTAAGCTCAGTCTTGAAGATGGAGCAGCAGTTCAAGCAGAGAGTTTTTGGAATCCAGAATGCAGAGAGTTTGGGAGTTCCTGAATGCAGAACGCGGGCATTCAGGATGCTGCTGAATTTGTGGGATTCCTGGTTTCCCTCTGTCTGTTTGTGTCTGTTTGTCACTTTCCCTCCACAGCTAATCACCCAACTCGTCACACCTGCCACCAATCTGAGGAGTACTGCTACTCACCTATTTAAGCAGCTGCCAGCCTCCTCTCCAGTGCTGGGACATCTTCTGACAATCGGACCTTCCACGGCCTGGTTCATTCTGGTCCTCCCTAGGACTTCTCCCTCCACTGGAACTCCTTCCTGTGGACCTTTGATGTCTCGTCTCCAGCAACAACATCCACCACGCTGTCTGGGTCAACCTGCTACTCTCCTCTGGATTCCTCCTCACACCCAGGATCCCACTCTCTGCTCCTCCTCAACCATCTCCTGAAACAATAACAAGTAAGGATCAATTCTTGATTTATCAATCATCATCATCATCCACCAAGAGGATATATATTCACCATCTCTCCCCTTCCCTTACAGCTGTTCGAGTTTTATCTTCACCTGTAAATAAATATCACTTACCTTTTTACCTGCCTCGTGTCCTTGCTTCCTTGGTCTGCTACATTGGGGGTCGACGTTGTATAAACCTGATAGAATTAGAATCAAGCTGAACCAGAGACGATTTTGGGAATTATAACTTCTGTTTGGATAACCTCACACGACTCCCAAGGTTTTTAGCTGTTCTCACGGAGACTCTGAAAGAGTCAAAAGAAGAGCTCTACACCGACGCTGAAGCTATCGTCTGCAAGGTAAAAGTTCTATCTCGACCAAGCGTACCGTTGGTCCAAGCTGATTTCAATGGAGCGTGCTGTTCTGGTTAAAACAGACAAATTCCCTCACACATCTCTCTCAGATAAACTTCATCTTTCCATCTTTAAACTCTCCTATCTGCTAGAAAATTAATCCAGATGTTTTCAGAAATGTCTGTGGTGTAGCAACGGAAAATCATGGCCGTATGGTTCTCCTGGTTGTAAAGCTGATTAACTATGTCGTTATTTTCCAATTCTTGCCAATTAATGTAAATGTGTGATGTGTTAAACTTGATTCTGTTAATAAATGACCCACTCGCTTGGTGAGTCAAAGATAATTAACGTCTCACGTCCACATTTTTATTACATTCAACGCACGTATGTTATACAGTCCAGAAAAATGAAGAACCCGTTTAATGTATGAATATATCGTCCGTATGTTCTACTACAATACATGTTGTTGTATAGTGCGTTTAAAATGGGGGGGATGCGGCGACGACAGGCACAGACCCACCCCCTCCCCAGAGAGAAGGCAGTGCCCGCTCACCTCCCCAACCCTTGCCCAGAACCCTAAATGTCTCCATGCTATATATGAGAGTGAGCACAGGTCCTAGAGGTGAGAAAGATTACACATCCCACCACCTATATGCCACCATGTGCCCACTCCAGACCCTATATATGCATGTAAATAGACTGTACTTATATAGCACTTTTCTATCTTATAAAGATACTCAAAGTGCTTTACACTACAATCTGTGTCCTCATTTACCCATTCAAACAGCACTCTACTAGATCTCTATAAAGCTAATTGAATAAATCATTCTAAAGAGACTAATCAGAGCTTTAGATCACATTCATACACCAATGTGACACACAGGCAACGAGGGGTTCAGTGTCTTGCCCAGGGACACTTCGGCCTGTGACTGCTCGTTGAACCAGCTTAGGCTGGTTCCACCCTTTTAGGGACCCCTTTTAGGGTCCCTCGAACCAGGGGGAGGTGTTAGATATTTATCTAGACTGGTCCTGGGGTTTTGATCTGCTCAGAGATGGGATTATAATGAAATTATGACCCGGTTCTGACTGGGTTAAACTGGCCCAGCAACTCTAAAAGAGTCTCCCAGGGATTCTATATCCATCAAGGAATATAGTTTATTTTTGCTTGCTACATCAGGTAGAAAGGCTTTTTGAAGCACCATCTCATATTTCCATACACGTCAGTCCACGTAAGATCCGTTTAGATCACAATTAGTCATGCCCCCTCATACACTGACAAGTTGAGCTCCCATTCTGTGAAGGAGGAGTCTAGGACCCTATAAATGAGTAATGACAAGGGACATCAGGCCTTACGGTTTATGACCGCGTCAGAGACTGAAGAGGCCAGCGCTGTAAACTGTAACCTTTTCAGAATCAGAATAAAATTTATTATCATTGCACCGAGATACAACGAGAACATGTACATACAGTCGTCCGAAAGATGGACGGCCTGCACAAAGCTGCGGCCCTCTTATTCAAAATATTTTGCTTAGATGAGAAAAGGGAAGAAAACACGATGAGAGACCGTATAAAAAAAGATCTCTCACGCCAAGTCCTAGACAGGGCATGATTTGAGGCATCAAAAAACCTACCACAGCAAAGCAACATAAATAGACATTATACATTTACATATAGGCCGGTGAAGACATTGAATTTTTAAGGGAAAGACATAGCATAGTCCAGAGCCCCCCCTCTCAGCCATTGTCCAGATCAGAGGTGTTATTCATCATCAGCTCAGTTGAGGTTCTGTCAATTGTCCACAGCCTTGGGGAAGGGAGGGGTGAGGAGACAGACAAAGCATATTTGTTATTTTCAAAACATGCCAGGAGTTGAGATAAGTCCAGCGTCAAGGCCACAGTTTTGGTCAGGTAAAACTCGTGAATTGTTGTTTCTGCCTTTTAAAGTCTCGCTGGTATATATTCCTCTGATGGAAACTCCAAAACAGCCGAATTGATCCTTTATGCCACATATGTCAAACTCAAGGCCCGGGGGCCAAATGCGGCCTTCATTGACATCTTATCTGGCCCCCAAGATGATATGTGAAATGTAAAATACTTCTATCTCTTGAATTTTTTCAGTAATCTTTGATTATTTTCATTCATTCAACCTTTATTTAGACAGGTAAATCCCATTGAGCCTAGAGGACTCATTTACAAGCGAGACCTGATTTCAACAAAGAATGATGACAACAATGGACAACAGCGACAAAAATAAACAGTTATAAAAAGTCATACTACAGTTTTTTTTTTGTTTTTTTTTTAACAAATAGGATGGCTAAAAGAAAAAGGTAACAAAAAAACAGCTAGATTCTAAGGCGAATGTAGAACACTAAAAACAGGAACATGTCTGCATTGGTCCCTGCCAGGAGTCCAACAGATTCTTAAAGCCACTTAGAGAGGTCAAAGGTCGAGAGCTTATGTTGAAAGTGCAACAGAGAACGTCAAATGAGACCAATCAAACTCTTTTTGAGGAACATGCAACCAAGAACAGATGTTTGGTTTCTAATTTGAGTTAATATAAATTCTGAAACTGGCCCTTGATTTGAAAAAGGTTTTAATTTTGCCCCCCTTTTGTAAGTGAGTTTGACACCCCTGCTTTACGCCAAAAGATGAGGTCACAGCTTCTCCAAGATTATTTCCCTTTCATGTGTGCTGCTATAGAGTGTACAGTCCTGATAACAGCTGCTCCAGCTCTCTGACACAACTCCACAAATTCAGTCTGAGTGCTGTTGAGCTTCGGCACATCCACACGAATTTATAGACAATCCAGAATTCACCAGCCAAACAGCAAAAAAACAGTTGTCATGATGAATCCAATTTGTTTCCGTTGAGATAAAAGGGTCCTCCTTACCCTGATTCCTGTCGGGAGAAGTTGATCAATTTTGTTGAGAGACCAGCTGAACCTTCGAATTAGGAGTTATGCAGGAAAAAAAAGGCTTTTTAAGGGTTCACAGGACAAAAGACAAAAGATTGCAAGCAGGGAAGCAGGTGGGGGGAGCTCAGGGAGACATGTCTGGCTTTACCGGAGGACAGATAGAGAGAAAAAAAAAAGATTTATTATAATCGATAAACCTTAATTCGCGTCTCCTTGATTTATTGATAGTGTGATTTTCCGCTTCTGAGGGAGGTTCGAGCCGGGGGGAGCGACGTGGGCTGGAGGCGGGTTTCCGGATCCGGTGGCCCGCAGCCAGCTCTTGTCCTAACACCGTATTAGATTACATTATTATTGTTTAGCATATATCTTAGATCCTTGTATACTGTTTCTTTTTTATACTTTATATTTTTGCTATTTATGGGTGTAAATGGGACCTTGAGTACACAATTCCATTCAAACTCATGGTCCACATGTGATGCGAATGCCAATAAAGTCACCTTGAACTTTGTATTAACAACAGAAATCACAGTTAAAACCCTACATTGGTGCTGTTGGCACAACTCTTCCTTCTCCCTGATGCTGTCTGTGAGTCAAATTTCAAGAAAATGACATTTGGAAAAAAGGTTGATTTCTTTAGAGACACATTTTATCCGAGGGTTTTAACTGCTGTGCACCATAAAAGCACCCTGCTACATTGTACATGTTTAGGATGGGGGAGTGAATAAATAATCCAACAATGCCTTCCCACAGCCATTTTCTTAGCAGTTATCAAATATCACCAGATGCATTTGCTTTAAATCAGTTTATACCATATTAAACATTACGTTGCATGAAATTAGACACTGTTCCAGAAAGCATCTTCCTGAATTCTTTCTGTTAAGTTGGTGGAAAGTATAACCTTTTGTGTGAAATTTTAACTTGTTACAATGAGTGCAGTTTGTTTTTATTTACCTGTGCTGCCTCCCATCCCCATTGCCTGTACTTGGGGTCGTGTGTGAACCTCCACATGTACCAGTATGTCTCGATGACCTCCGGCCGCAGGATGTAGTACTTCTCATTCTGCCGGACAGCCACCGCCTCCAGACCGCTGTCAAACTTAAAGGCCTCTGGGCCGAGCTTCAGCACTGGAGTTATTAAAAAAGAAGGCCAGAAGAGAGAGGAATGAGACTGTAGGAAAGTTCAGTGAATGGAAACAAAAAGAGCACGTAAGCAAAACCATGTAATAAATTATTACAACAACAAAAATAAAATAAAATTCATAATTCAAATAGGGAAAGAGGTGGAAAAAAGTGAAAAATGAGATAGGTTAGGGAAGCAAATATAGTGAAAAAAATAATGAAAAGGTCTGATTAAAAAGAATTGGCAGTTGAAAATAATATAAAAGAGATAGACATTATCTTTGCTTCTTGTTTGTTTTTTATTTTTTTATTTTATTTGTTTATCAGGAGAACATACATCCATTGACCTTACATACATTCTGCAAAAATTACACTTCTCCCATTTTTTTTCCCCATAGCAAACATAAATCACCAAACTGACATGACAAAAACAAGACAAAATAAATGCAAATACAAAAAAAAGAGAAAAGAAAAAAGAAAAAAAAGGAAAAGGGGGGTGGGGGGTATGGCACTGAGAAGCTAAAGTGTAACTGTATTTTACCTATTTATTTATTCTTTAAAATTTAGTCACACGATGACGTGATGAGTCAGTCACATCAGTCTATGCATTATGAAGGCAGAGATTTTATGTGTGTCATAAAGGGTGCCCACTTGAGAGTAAATTTTGCTGAACTGCCTTTCACTGTTAATAAAGTTTTTTCTATCTTCAAGAATGATCTTACAGTGTTAAGCCATTGTGATGTAGATGGAGGTGTAGGAGATTTCCAGAAGAGTAAAATACAGCGCCTGGTTAGGACAGAACAGAAAGCCAAGACCTCCCTCTGCTGGGGGGACAGGTTAAGTGAGGTCTCTGGAACTCCAAAGATGGCAATTAGTGGATCATTATTATTAGATTATTAATTAGCTCTGTTACTTTCATTCTGAGATATTGCTTTTGGAAACATTAATTCCTCTTTTCTGGATGTAAATCACATTTTTTGGATGATTGCTTCCTCTTGTATCAGATGTAGTGCAGCTGGAAGGATTTTTACTGAAACTTTTTTAGTTTTGGACATTTGTTATGATGCATAACCGTGGCAACAAGGCAGTTTTCTACAACCAACAACAGCCGATTAACATCTCAAAAGCTCAAATAATATCTCAACTACAATCCCAGATCTCAAATGAGTTGAAAAGGATGTTCTGTGGACGCATTCTCATCTACCTGCCAGCTGTGCTCAAGTACCTGACCACTGAGATCCTGGAACTAACAGGAAACACGGCTCATGACAGCGGAAGGACGGGATCATCCCTTGGCACCTACAGTTGGCTGTCCGCAGCAATGAGGAGCTCAGCAGACTGCTGGGAGGAGTGGCCATCGCTCTGGGAGGAGTTCTGCCCGGCATTCAGAGGGTTCTACAGCCTGAGGGGAACCGAGAGGCCAGCCGAGTCTGGGTGGATGGATCGGACGGCATCTGCAGCCAGTTTCTTAGGATCCACTGTGGGATGGACCTTTACAAGAGATTATTCCTGCCTACAGCCATCAGCATCTATAACATCTCTTAACGAAATGAGGATAACGAGTTACAACAACAAATAATTTCCCTTTGGGATTAATAAAGTATTTTTGAATTGAATTGAATTGAATCACTTTGGATCTGAATTCTAAAAACCCTGAAGTATGGAAAAGAAATATTTCCAAAATTTTTGTAAGCTCGGGCAGAAGAAAAACATGACTTAAGTTGCAAGGTGAGTTCTGGTGATATAAAAATATATTAAGTTGCCTTTATGCCTGTTCAAACATATACTTTGTGTGTGTGTTACTTATAATATTTAGACACTCTTTGATGGTTAGCAGAGGGACGAAGGGGGCAGTGTATCCTCTCTAGGAATGCTTTAATAAGCATTAGGAGTGCTTTTGACCGAAGAGCTTTGGCCCGCTTTTGCGGTCACGGCGCTCCTTACTGGAAAAACAGGTTTTAATTAGATCTGTCCTCCTGACAACCATCAAACTTGTTTTTCACTGCTCTCACGCGATCCGGTCAGGGAGAGGTATAAAGGAGGTGTGACAGGCAAGGGAATTTTGAAGTCTGCTGTGGACCAACGCGCGTGAGTGCCCAGCGATTGATGTGATTCCTGTTTACCCGGGTCGAACGGCTTCCCGACCACGTGTCACGGTGAGAGGCTCTCATATCAATTTGTGTGTGTAAAGAGTGTACAAGTGTACATGTTTGCTTGGCTGTTTTTCTGTGGCAGATTAATAAATGACACTATTATTTCTAGCAGTAACAGTCTCCTCTGATTTATTTCCTTTCGTGTGAATCATCGGGTGCCGACCGTTCACGACCCCTGTTAATTTCATAATACATCTGGCATCTGTCACATTGGTCCAGAATCGAGCGAAAGATTTTAGATAGACGGGATTTTGAGAAATGAACTCTATTTATCACTTTGAACTGTACAATACTTTAATAATAATAATACTTTATTTATAAAGCCATTTAAAACAACCACAGCTGCCACAAAGTGCTGTACATATAAAATCAAGAACATTTAAACACATAAAAACAGTTGTTAAAACATTAAGATCAATAAAAATAATAAAAACAGTGCAGAGCAAAATTCAGTGTGTGCTAAAAGCCAGGGAGTAAAAATGTGTTTTTAAAAGAGTTTTAAAACTGGACAGTGAAGGGGCTCGTCTGATGGGAAGAGGAAGATCGCTCCACAGTCTTGGAGCAGCAACAGAAAAAGCTCTGTCCCCTCTGAGCCTCCACTTAGACCTCGGCACCTCCAGGAGCAGCTGATCAGCTGATCTGAGGCACCGAGCAGGAGAGTATGGGTGAAGCAGCTCAGAGAGGTAGGATGGAGCAAGACCATTTAAACTTTTAAAAACAAATAAAAAAATCTTAAAATGAACTCTAAAATGAACAGGCAGCCAGTGGAGTGAAGCCAGAGTGGGGGTGATGCGCTCCCTTTTTTGAACTCCAGTTAGAAGCCGAGCAGCAGCGTGCTGGACCAACTGGAGGCATCTGAGGGAGGACTGGCTGACTCCAAGGTAAAGAGCGTTGCAGTAATCCAGCCGAGAGGTGACGAAGGCATGGATTACTGTTTCCAGCTGTTGTTTTGTAAGGATGGACTTTACCTTAGCCCGCTGTCTGAAGTGATAAAAACTGGTCTTGACCACCGCTCCAATCTGGGAATCTAATTTAAAATCACTGTCCATTTTAAAACCCAAGTTAGAAACCGTTTTCTTTACATGTGGTGCCAGAGGGCCCAGATCAACAGGGCAAGGTTCACAAGAGCCACTAGGACCAAACACCATCACTTCTGTTTTCTTTTCATTGAAATTTAAGAAGTTTAAAGACATCCAGGCTTTGATGTCTTCAAGACACAACAGAAGTGGCCTAATTGAGGGGGCATCTTTCTTTTTTAGTGTGTCTTGCTACCCGAGTGAGGTAGGCACAGGGCACGTGCCACACCCTCACCACAGCCTCTCCTCCAACGGGTCTTAAAACTAATCCTATGGCTCAGGTATTACCCGCAGCAGTTTCCTAGGACCATTCTAATTTTAAGGCTGTGTTGAGATAATTCACCCAGACTGTTAACTACCTTCGATCCTTGCACCACACCCAACTTTCACCTCGTGCCTCGCCCGACCTAGCAGCTGGAGTGGGGACGTTTGGCAGACGAGGGAGTGCAAGTTAACGGTAGCTCATCTCCTGATTTAGCGTTACAATTGTTAATCGATCTGGTGATTTTTAGAGCCTAGGAAAAAAGACTCATGGGTGTTGTTTTATAATCAAAAGCTAATAAAACCATTTAAAACCTCCCACATACCTCTGTTGTTTCATTGAACCAAGTTTTCCACTTCCAAAAACAAAAGGTGTGTTTGAAATAAGAATCCAGAATTTTACATTTTGCTTTGCTTTTAATCAATAACTTTTGCAGGGGAACAGCGGTATAGCACAATAATGATTACACTGGATTACACAGAGATTACATGATGAATGATTCTCACTCCTTTGTTCCTTTTTAAATTGTTGACCTTCCCTGGGTTAGGTAGGTGGATGGGTTTGAAACAGGCGCTTGGACTCCTCTCTGCCGGCGTCGGACTTCCCTCAGTCCAGCCGGCCACGCCCGGCCTCCCTCAGGAACACAAGTACCCACACAGCTTACCTACTCTCTCCACCTGCCCCAACAGATTATTCCTCACCACAAAGAAGACCCTTCTACAACTCTGAGCAACCAGGTTTTTAATATAATAAGCGTCCCCTTACCATGTTTTCTGAATCCGGTAAGAGGCAGATTTCCCAATCCCATTATCGGTCGGATTTGGGCCACTCCTTGGTCCTTGTGCTGGTTCAATTTGAAGAAAAAGGGTTTCAGGTTTAATCCGGGCTGTTGAGTTTTGAAGAAAATAGTTCCAAAAAAGAAACTTATTCCATCGGATTCCATCCCAGTTCTTCTCCAGCCAAAACCGTCCAAAATCGCCCTATTAATCCATAATTCGTCCAAAGGTTCTTCGGATCTTGTCCTGAGGTCCTTCACCTTGTGAAGTGGGTCCCCAAACAGCAGAGCTTTCTCTGAAACCCTCTGTTTTTAAAGCCTCAGATTTTGACTGACACTTCTCGGCTAGTCACCCCATCAGGCTTATCCCACCTTTTTAGGCGGGACCTTGGTCCGACTTCACTGGTTTCTTATGAGATTTTGCCAGTCATTCTTATGCATATTAAAATCTGGGTGTATTTCTATTCAATAACGCACAGTCATTCTGTGCTGTTTCATGCTGATTGGCTCAGAGCTACATTTTAGGGCTTTCCCCTTGCGTAACATTCTTACTCATAACGTTCTTTCAAGAACATTCACGAAGCAACAGGTTTCTTCCATTCAACATTCATCATGAATCAGCTTAAACACAGATTACATTGTAAGATCATAAGATTACATTCTAAAATCACAGAGTTTATAATATCACTTGATTATCTACTTTGTTTATTGATTTTATTATAACCACATATTTCTCATTC